GAAGCAGACTTGCCGCCGAGGGGGGAGCCCAATGCGGGACTCAATCCCAGGACTCCAGGATCGTGACCTGAGCCGAAGGCAGTTGCTTAACCAACTGAGCCACCCAGGTGCCCAAAAGTAAAAATTTTAATTAATTTCCTCCTTTATAAAGATTTCTTGTAGGCAACAAAGAGGTCTTGCGTTTTTATTCTGATAATATCTGCATTTTAACTGGAGTGTTTATAAATCATTAACAATTATCATGATTATTGATTTAGTTTAGACCTACCATCAGGCTTTTTGTCCCTTTTTTTTTGGCCTGCTTTTTCTTTTCTACCTAGTTTTGGATTAAGTATTTTTTAGGGTTCCATTTCATCTCCTTTTTGACTTATTAGCTGTAAATCTATATTTGTTTTTTATTTTCTATTGGTTGCTTTCGGCTTTAAAATAGGCATCTTTAATTTTGGCTACTCTTAAGTAATATGGAAGCATATCACATATCACACTGCACTTTTGAGCGCTTGAAATATGCCTAGTACCATTGAGAAATTGAACTTTTAATATTATTTTAATCAAGTTAAAAATAAAAACTGATAACTTTACTTTTATTAGAAAACCTAAGTATAGTTGGAACAACTTGGGTAAGGGAATCTTTTTTTTTTCCTATACATTTTATGAAGTCTAAATATAGATCAAGTATTTCCGATCAAAATTTAGCCTTTGAACTGAGATGTAAAGTCTACATTGGATCTCAAAAATTTAAAAAGGAAAAAATGCAAAAGATGTTAATAATGTTTATATTATGATTACTTGCTAAAATACTGTTTTGGCCATTTTGGATTAAATTCCATCAAAGTTAATTTTACTGATTATTTTTTACTTTTTAACATGGCTATTAGAAAATTATAAATTTCATAGGTGGCATTATTTTTCTATTTGACAATACTGTTATAAGCAACTTAAATATACTTCCATTTTCTCCTTCTCTGCCTCTGTCCTATTGTTTTCATACATTTTACTTCTCTATATGTTATAAATCCCATAATACGTTCATGGTTTAGTCATAAATTTTTACTTTAGTCTATTGTTTTAAAAGAGGTTTAAAAATTATAAAGTTTTTATATTTGCCCCCATAGTTACCATTTCTAGTGCTCTTCAATTCTTTGTGTAGATATAGATTTCCATCTGGTATCATTTTCCTTCTACATGAAGGACTTTTAATATTTTTGCATTCTGTTTGCTGGTGGTGAATTCCATCACCCTTTGTATGCCTAAGTCTTTTTTTTTTTTTTTTTAAAGATTTTATTTATTTATTTGACAGAGAGAGACACAGCGAGAGAGGGAACACAAGCAGGGGGAGGGGAGAGGGAGAAGCAGGCCTCCCGCGGAGCGGGGAGCCGGATGCGGGGCTCGATCCCAGGACCCTGAGATCACAACCTGAGCGGAAGGCAGACGCTTAACGACTGAGCCACCCAGGCGCCCCTGCCTAAGTCTTAACTTCACCTTCATTTTTGAAAGATTTTTAAGAGGGAGAGAGAAAATCTTTTTTTTTTTTTTTTTTAAGATTTTATTTATTTGACAGAGAGAGAGCACAAGTAGGCAGAGTGAGAAACAGGCTCTCCACTGAACAGGGAGCCTGATGCAGGACTCGATTCCAGGACCCTGGGATCATGACCTGAGCTGAAGGCAGACGCTTAACCGACTGAGCCACCCAGGCACCCTGGAAGAGAGAAAATCTTAAGCAGGTTCCACAGCCCATGACCTGAGCTGAAATCAAGAGTCAGATATGTGTAACCAACTGAGTCACCCAGGCAATTCTATTGAGTATAGAATTCTAGATGTATTTTGTTCTTTTAAGATGTTGCTCCACTGTCTTCTGACTTGCCTTTCTCTGACAACAATTTTTCTATCATTCTTATCTTTGTTCCTTTGTAAGTAATGTTAACTTTTTCTTTGGCTGCTTTTAAATTTTTTTCTTCATCACTGATTTGAAGCAATTTGGTTATGATGTGTCCTGGTTTGCCTTTTTTCATGTTTCTTGTTCTTGCAGGTAGGTGAGCTTCTTGGGTCTATGAGTTTATAGTTTTCATCAATTTTGGAAACATTTCAACCATTACGTCTTCAAATAGTTTTTCAATTCCAATTTCACTTATACTAGGCTTCTCAAAATAGTCATACAGCTTACTGATGCTTTTTTCATTTCTTTTTCTCTATGTGTTTGGGTAGTTTTCATTGCTTTGTCTTTATTTTTTTAAATTTAAATTCAATTTAGTTAACATAGTGTATTGTTTCAGGGGTAGAATTTAGTGATTCATCAGTTGCATGTAACACCCAGTGCTCATTACATCAAGTGCCCTCCTGAGTGGCTAAAATTAACAACTCAGGAAACAACAGATGTTGGTGAGGATATGGGGAAAGGGGAACCCTCTCACACTGTTGGTGGGAATGCAAACTGGTGCAGCTATTCTGGAAAACAGTATGGCGTTTCCTCAAAAAGGTAAAAATAGAACTACCCTATCACCCAGCAATTGCACTACTGGGTATTTATCCAAAGGATACAAAAATAGTGATTCAAATGGGCACATGCACCCCAATGTTTATAGCAGCAATGTCCACAATAGCCAAAGTAGGAAAAGAGCCCAGATGTCCCTCGACAGATGAAAGGACAAAGACACAATGGACTATTAGTCAGCCATTACAAAGTATGAAATCTTGCCATTTGCAACAATGTGGATAGAACTAGAAGGTATTATGCTAAGCAAAATAAATCAGTCAGAGAAAGACAAATACCATATTATTTCACTCATTTATGGAATTTAAGAAACAAAGCATGAGCATAGAGGAAGGGAAGGAAAAATAAAACAAAAACAGAGAGGGAGGCAAACCATAAGAGACTCTTAACTATAAGAAACAAACTGAGGGTTGCTGGAGGGGAGCTGGCTGGGGGGATGGGGTAATTAGGTCTTTAAACTCACTAATTTTGTCTTCTGTTATGTCTAATTTGTTCTTAATTCCATTAGTGTATTTTTCATGTCGGACTTTGTATATTTTATCTTTAGCAGTTCTCCTTGGGTCTGTTTCATATCTCCCATGTTTCTTATACTCAAGCTTTCCTGTACTCTGTTGAACACAGCAAGTATGATTATAGCTGTTATGTTGTCCTTATCTGCTGATTCTATCATCTGGTCTGTTTCTTTTTATTCTTTTTCTTCATTATGGTTTGTATTTTCCATTTTGCATATATTCTTTTCATGTCTGGTAATTTTTTATTGGATACCAGGCATTGTGAATGTGACTGTTGGCTATTAGATATTGGGTTTCCTACATCTATTCTTAAGCTTTGTTATGGGACACAATGAAGTTACTTGAAGACAATTTGATACTTTACGGTCTTGCTTTTAAACTTTGTAAGGCAGGCACAGAACAGCCTTTATTTTACTACTGAGGTAATACCATTCCAAGTACTCTGCTTCTCTGTCAAATATGAGAGTTTCTAATTTGGCTGGTGGAACTCAAACTATTCTTGGCCATGTGTGAGCTCCAAAAATTGTTTCACCTTGTTCTTTCACGTTGTTCTTTACATGACCACGTGTAGTGGTCACTTGTGGTCATCAACACTCAGCTGCAGATCTCTAGAGCTCTCTGTACAGCTCTCTCACTTTGGTTCCCTAGCCTGTGAAATCTAATTGTCTTATCTTCCCTGGACTCCTAACTCTTCTCCTCAACTCTGAGAAACTTCTAGGTTCCACCCAGGTTTCCCGTCTATGCCATGTAGTCTTGAAACTCTTTAGGCAGTAAAGTGGAGCAATTACCAGGTCCAACTAACTTATTTTCTCTATTTCACAGATCACTGCCCTTCATTGCTAGATGCCCAATGTCTGGAAATTGTTGTTTCATGTTTTTGTCCAATTTTTTAGTTGTTTCAGGCAAGAGAGTATATCTTATCCCTATTACTCCATTTTGGCCAGAGCAGAAGATGGCATACCAATTCATAACGTTCTTTTTAATATCTCTGTTGTACCTTGGCTTTCATCCCTTTTATCATTTCTAAACTGTTTTTTATACTTTTTATCTTTTATCTTGAAGACTCTGCCAAATTCAGTTAAATCAACCCTCTATATTCTATGTTTTTATTTATTTTGTTAGTTCCTACTCTTAATTTTGTAATTTCCAATCCTTTATTCCCTTTGGATTTATTCTATATTTCTTTTTCGAATTTCTAGGGATGTTTAATACATTTGTTATAAACCTTTCTTTTCTAAGAAAAGCATATTGAGGCTAACAATTTACTTTGAATTACCACTTCAAGTACATTCCACAAGTTTTGATATATAGCTTTTTCTTAATATTCAGTTCTAAGCATTTTTAAATTTCTATCATGATTTACTCTTTGACCTATGAGTCATTTAGAAAATCACACTTTAAAAACCTTATGACAATAAATAAACAAGTGAATAAAAACATCATCCTATTAATTTCTAAGTTGCAATATGATTGCATGAAGTTCAAAAGTTGATGAAATGTGCTTTATGGTTTAGTATGTGATGTTTTAGTGAAAATTCCATGCATGCTAAAAAAGAATGTGTATTATTGATTCACATCTTTTATATATTTACTAGTCAGTGGAATTTGTCAGTCTCTAAGAGAGATGTGTTAATTTCCCAAGATAATGGTGGGCTTGTCCATTTTTCCCTTGTAGTTCTGTTTTTTTATGTATTTAGATGCTACATTACTTTGTGCATACAAATTTAGAATTAGTATAACATTTTTCAAGTTCAAGTGAGAATTTGTATATTTATGTGTTAAAAAACCAGAATAATAGTTATTACAAATTTTATTTTCAGCTTATGTGGTGACTGAATTTAAATAAAACATAACCAGTTGAAACCTAACGGAAAATGTTTTCTTGGGCGCCTGGGTGGCTCAGTTGGTTAAGCGACTGCCTTCGGCTCAGGTCATGATCCTGGAGTCCCTGGATCAAGTCCCACATCGGGCTCCCTGCTCAACAAGGAGCCTGCTTCTCCCTCTGACCCTCCCCCCTCTCATGTGCTCTCTCTCTCTCTCATTCTCTCTGTCTCAAATAAATAAATAAAATCTTAAAAAAAAAAAAAAGAAAAAATGTTTTCTTTTTCAGTTGTTATGGTGGGAACAATGGACTTTAATGCTGAAAGCTGAAGACATGGCAGCCTTATTATGCCAAGATGAAAATGTGGTAAGATTGAAGGTTCAATCACAGCTTTTCATGGTGAAATCTTCTGTACAATGCACTAGAGAATGGCCATCATCCAAAAAAGCAGTCAATTTATAGAATGAAAGAGCACAAAACCTTTGGTTTAGGGATTTACTGTTAAAATAGGTGACAGGGAACAGATTGGTTAATAAAATGATGTGATTAAAACAAAAGAGGACTAACAACAGAAGTCCTGCTCCCGATCTCTGTTATAGGTAATTTTTCTGTAAACATCTTTGCCATAAACATTTTCCCTTCAAATCTTTTACAGCCTAACTAATTGGCCATAAGGCAATTCTGCCTTAAAAGATAAAATAACCGGCTGATAGTTTGGTTTAATTCTCCACTGATGAATCAGCCAGCTTTAGCAAAGTTAATGTATTGAAGCTAGGTGTCCATTTGGTTTCATTTCTCCATTGACAAAATTCCCATTTTTTATTCTATAAATCTTAGCTCTCATAACGGTCTATACAGTATTCTATTGTTCTAGTAGTATCCTTTTATTCTGACTACCAGTATATCTGGATTCATTTTGACCATGTTATTTTGTCTTGTTTCTCTTTTTTCTATTCTCTTTTTCTTTCCCTTCCCCCTTTTTTGCCTTTTGACTATAGTCAGTCATCTATTTTTTTTTTTAAATCTCTACTTGTTTGAGAGTTCATATTTTCCTGTTACCCTAGAAACCTTAACATATATATTTAACTTAACAAAATCTAAAGTTGATAGTTTTACATTCCTCTCAATCAATGTAAGAGTCCTACCCAAATATAGTGGTACTTTGGTTGAAAATTAGTTTAGATTTTAAAGAACGCTTAGTGAATGACATACACAGAGTGCTCATTATAGCATTATCTGTCTTGGCCAAAAACTGGAACAAATACCCAGATAAACTGACTCATATTCATACAATGGAATACTATAACAAAATAAAAATGAATAAACTCATGCTACACAAAATTTGTGGATGGATCTCACAACATAATGTTGAGTATAAGAATCCATCCTCACAAGTGCATATTGTGTAATTCTATTTACATAAAGTTCAAAAACAAGCAGAACTAACCTATGGTGACAAAACATAGCAATGATTACCTTTGGAGGGTAATGAATGACAGAAGGCAGAAAGGAGGTTTCTGAGATGTTACTGGTGTTCCGCATCTTGACCTGGGAGGTGGTTATGCAGGTGTGTTCACTATGTAAATATGTATCAAGCTATATACACTTCTGTGCACTTTTCTGAATACAGTTCCACTTCAGTAAGATTTTACTAAAAAGTAAAAATAAAAAGACTTTGTGCTTCTCTTTACCAAATAAAACCATGGCAATTATTTTGTTAAATATTCTATTTTACCTATCTTTTATTGTTTTTGATAATAGTAATGATCCTCTGATTAACACTGTGTCACTTAGAATTTCATTTGGCCTTCGCCTGTGCGGCCAATGCAGCTTCTTCACGCCACTTAGCTTTCTTTGCCAGGTTCCAACTTGTTAAGGATTCATGTCGTTCTGCAGCCTGAAAAATAAAAAAATAAAAAACAAAAAACAAAGCAAAGCATCATTTCCACTGGAAAGGATTTGTGTTTCAGATAGACATACATAGCAGATACTCTGTGAAAAGGAGAAAAGTAACTTAAAACATCTGTCACAAATAGTATCCAAGAAAAGTAATCCTTTGGTATAGAAAAAAAATTATGTAAGTTGCGAGACTTCTAGTCAATAGGACAACTGACATCAGAAATCTGCCCTGGCTCTCTTGGCACACAAAAACATATTTTTTGGATAAAAAAATAAAAATATTTTCAAATAGTTATGTTCAAAATCAAGAAAGGGAAATCCTCAGGTATCTGAAATGGAAAGAACTCAAAAGGCAAGAATTGGTGGGTAATAAGAAGGACTGAGGCCAGGATGGGAAGGAATGGTTTCAGGCAGGGGGCATTAGGGGAAAATATTGGGGTTTTTTTTGTTGTTGGTGGTGGTTTTTTAATTTTTTTTTTTTTTTAAGATTTTGTTTATTTATTTGACAGAGAGAGACACAGTGAGAGAGGGAACACAAGCAGGGAGAATGGGAGAGGGAGAAGCAGGCTTCCCACCAGGCAGGGAGCCCGATGCGGGGCTCGATCCCAGAACCCTGGGATCATGACCTGAGCCGAAGGCAGACGCTTAACTGACTGAGCCACCCAGGCGCCCCAAAAATACTGGTTTTAATAGCTGTGAGCTGGGAGTTTAATCTCTACCCCCAAAAGGTGAGTCCAGAGTTTGGATCTGGGGTTGGAAGTATCAGATACTTCACTGAAATGACTAGAATTCCTCTTACTAGCCCAAGGAACTGGCAAGGAAAGTAGGCATTTATCTGGGGGCGGGGGGGGGGGGAATCACCTCTGAAAAGATAAGATGATCAGCATCATAACTGGGATGTAAAAACTCTAGCTAGAGGGATGCCTGGGTGGCTCAGTCAGTTAAGCGTCCGCCTTCGGCCCAGGTCATGATCCTGGAGTCACAGGATTGAGCCTCACATCGGTTTCCCCACTCAGTGGGGAGTCTGCTTCTCCCTCTGCCCCTCACTCTTCTTGTGCTCTCTCTCTCACTGTCTGTCTCTCAAATAAATAAATAAAATCTTAAAAAACAAAACAAAACAAAAAACCTCTAGCTAGAAAATAGGTCTGAGTGCAATACAGAGATACAGATACCAAAAATAGAAAAAAAGTTGAGACATGGAGAATCGAATTAGAAGTTCCAACACACATGCATAGTAGGTGGAAAGAATAGACAGAATGGGTGAAGGGGCCCTATATGAAGTTATGACAGCTTAGACTTTTCAGAAGTGAGGGAAACTGTATATAGGTCCTTAGACTGAAGAGTGTACAAAGTCCTTAGCAGAATAAAAAAAATTAATAGATACTGTTGAATGCCTAATCCGCCCCTCACACTTAATATATCCACAGTACGGAACTTAGTGTATTTTGCCTGTCGTGCCTACCAGTTCTTTCCCCAGCTTTACACATCTCCACAAATGGTGGTACCATCCACCTAGGTGCTGAAGTAAAAAACCCAGACTTTTTGGTTTCTGTCTTCCATTTTCTTTCTTCTTCCCACATCAAATTTACTTCGAAGTTCTACCCTTTCTACCTCCCCAAATATATCTCAAATTGCTAAACTTTTCTCCACCTCCATCTATCACAGTCTCAGTTAAAGCATATGCATTGATTATTTAAAACAAAAGAATTGGAGAGAAGCAAGAGGGAGACCATGAGACCCATTAGAAGATTTTGCAATCCATTAGGCAACAGATGTTAGTTATCTCAGACCAGGGTGGTATCATGAGAGATGGTGAGGAGTGGTCCAATGGTAGGTATATTTTAAAGTGGAGTCAAGAGGATTGCTGATGTATAATGGCTTACTCGTGAGCAGCTGGGAAGATGATAAAATAGTGAGCACTTGGGCAAGGCCATTTTAGAGGGGGTGGTCAGGGAAGGTCTCTGACCAGAGGGAGAATAAGCCAGCTATGGCAAGGTGAGGGGAAAGAAGGAAGCCTAGGTAGCCGAAGGGCTGAAGTTTGGAATTCGCCCTCTGGGAGAGATGCTGTGGAGAGATGTCTGTGATGCCTAGGTAATGGCTCCTGCCACTTGAAACTACAGGCTGTGATGAGAAGTGAAGAGCTGCGTCCTTTCTTCCTGGCTACTACGGGTTTTGTTAACGCAGAGGATATCTCTTATCTGGTGTTGGGCAGATCCTAGGAGCTTCCATCTAGCTTTCCTGCATTACCCTGTGTGAGCAGCTGTCAACTTACTGGAGGAAAGAAACTGCCCAGAAATTTTGAGATGCTTAAGTATTACTTAAATTTATGTTAATTGAACATTACAAAATTTATGTTAAATTTCTTTAACATAAATACTTGTTTTTATCGGAAGGATTCCAATAAAATATTTTAAAGCAAAAAAAAAAAAAAAACTAGTGTGGATGGAGCATAATGAACAAAGAGAAGATATTATAAAACAAGGAGGGTCCAGACAATATCAGGCTCTAGTCTGTCATTTAGGAGCTAGAGAATCATCACCTTGGTGGACAGTCATTTTATCTACAGTAGGTTATAAACAAGAGATGACCAAATTTCTTTATTTCTATGTTTGAATATTTAAGAAATATTTAAGAAATTTCCCCTTTGATGAGAATCATTTCAAAGCACACGTTCTCTGCCATGCTAATAGAAATGAATGGATATGTACATGACATCAGTAAGCTTACAGCCTCAGTCCCTATGTGAATGAGTGGGCTCAAATACTCTCAAAAACCTGAAAAGTTGGAGGGAGAATGGTAATCGGCTGCACACGCCCAGAGAGTGAAGATGTACGGATCCAAGCAAACTCTTCTGTGTGATGGCTGCCAAAACTTAGTTCCAACTCTGGCTGCGCTTCCAGGGCGCAGTTCACAAACAAGGAAGTTACAGTGGTGCTCTGATGGGTTCCGTTGCAAATGCCACAGTGAAGAGGGACACTGATAAACTGCAGTGTGTTTAGAGGAGAGCTCAAAATAGAGGGAAGTTGTAAGGGATAGGGAAATTAAGACTGGAGCAGAGAAGACTCATGGGGATGTGTTAGATGTCTCCCAATATTTGTGGGGCTGCTCTTCATGGTAAAAACTGATCAGCAGATGAAAGGATTTGGGGAAGCAAAAAACACAATTAGAGTAATCAGCTCTTAATTTGTCTCTAGAAAACACGTACTGGAGATGACAAGGAAAGGGCTCACATACAGGATACAGACAAACAAGGCGGCCTTGATCACTTCCAACGTTTGCCATTTCTGATGATTTCATGATTCTATACGACAGCTCTGATTGAGTTCATGACTTAGGGAACAATCTAGTCTGGGTAACTTTCACACAACAAACCTCTTGTGCAGATTTTAACCAGGCTATGAACTGTCCTGTTTTTGTTTTCATCTTATAAATGGAAATAAACATTTGTTCCTCCTGTCTGCCCATGTAGTTTGCATTTGTGGACTCAAATTTTCATGAAAGAAATTGTTTCCAGGAGGATAGATATTTATGGGTGCCTCAAGGTATTTAAGTTGAAATTGTGCTTACACTGAAAACACAGCAATAATCCCCAAATTGAGAACAAAGCTCATAATATTTCTTAAAATTCACCATTCCAGCTTTATTTTAAAGAGATACTCACCCTTTTGGCAGAGGCTATCACTGCAAAACAGGCGATAATGGTGAGTCCAATCATTATGTAACAAGCTTTCACCCGAGCCTTGTTTCTTGCAGCATCTATCATTTCTGGCCTAAACCAAGATGTGTATTCTGTTAATTAATTGAAGCAATCTGCTTTTTTCTCACTGGCATGATAGAGAATCATTTATTATGTAAATATTCCCCAAATTTCCCTGAATGCCAACTGCCGATGTGGAAGACATCCAAAGGCTAGCCCATTATGTTCCCAATTTCAAATGACAGGTATATTTAGGTCTTAATTAATGTTAGTCACCATGAAACTACAATGTAGTATATTTAGTTTCTAACTGCTCAAAATAGAACTACTAAAAATTATGGCCTGACTCTCATTTTTTTGTCACAGATCAGGGTAAAGGTAAGAATTTAAGTCTATATATGTCTATGACTCGTGTTCATTTGGCCCCTCTGTTATTAAGTGGGCTTCATTTTTAGTTTATTTATTTATTTATTTATTTTAAGATTTTATTTATTTATTTATTTTGAGAGAGAGAGAGAGTGTGGTGGTGGGAGGGAGGGGCAGAGGGAGAGTGAGAGAGAATCTCAAGTGGACTGTGTGCTGAGCCTGGAGCCTGAGGAGGGCTCGATCTCATGACCCTGAGATCATGACCTGAGCTGAAACCAAGAGTTGGGCCCTTAACTGACTGAGCTACCCAGGCACCCCTCCTTTTTAGTTTTAAACAGGTTTTTTTAAAATTCGTTTTCCTCATTTTGTTTTCTCACTGGGCTCCCGATCCCTTCTTGCCCCCTCCCATCCTATCCCCATTCTGTGGGGACCACTATTAGAGAAAACGTGTTTCCTTTGTGGCTTTTGCATGAAGTTTTCAAAATAAATGATCAAAATTACAATGATTTGTCGAAGAAAAAGACAAAGTCACCTTCATTTTCTTATTATTCTGAAATTTTATATACTTCTTTGAATACTGGGGAGACTTATTTATTAATATAAAGTTACAGGCAAGTTGTTTAAGATTTTAGCAATGCTACTTAACAAAGCAGGGTTACAAACCTAATCGTGTCTGTAGGCCTTTTATACTGAAATAAACTTTAACAATTTGCAATAATACGAAGTGGTAGTTTATAGATACGCATGATTAAAGAATGATTCTTGAGAATGTGTGCAGCAGTATTCTTTCTTATCTAATGTCAAGTTTAAACAGAATGTGGTTACATTGAAAAAAAATTTCAGAAAGACAAGTTGCAATTTCTTTTAAAAATGAAAAATTTTTTTTAACTTTTCCACCAGTTTAAAGAGCACAGCAAGCCAATATCTAGCCTGTTTTCCTTAAATTTGAGACAGATTAATGTACGTTTTAAGATGTTAGTTGCAAACAGGTGAATATGAAGACTTTATTAGATTATACTTGTTGCTGACTTTTGTTCCAGATGGAGCCTAGAAGATACGATCTTTTTTACCCATCCATCTGGCTTTGATCTGCTATACCAAATTAGGTTTGTGCTGAAAAAACAAGAAAAAGCATTATTATTAAATATCATTAGTGTATGATACAAAAATTATAGGTCACTTGTTAATTACATGTCCATTAAGAGCATACTAAGTGAAAGCTGTTCACATTGTAAGTCTAAAATTTAGTTTGGGAGGCATATCCCTCTTCAACGGCAATGCTTTAAAAAATTACAGAAAACAGGGTGCCTGGGTGGCTCAGTTGGTTAAGCGACTGCCTTGGGTTCAGGTCATGATCCTGGAGTCCCAGGATCAAGTCCCACATCGGACTCCCTGCTCAGTGGGGAGTCTGCTTCTCCCTCTGACCCTCCCCCCTCTCATGCTCACTCTCTCTCTCAAATAAATAATAAAAAAATAAAAAAATTATAGAAAACAGCACAATGAAAAATATTCAAATACTTTAATGTTTCCAATGCCTTTCTTAGACATCTTATTTGAAGTTAAATTCTCCTTTTTATAACATTTCTTTTGACTGTGATCCTGGGGAAATGAAATTATTTCTATAAAATGGTTCTCTTCACACATAGAGCTATATTAATGCAATATTGGGCCTACTGCCTCTTGACAAGCATTAATTTACAATACTGCAGGTTCTTTACATTCTTTTTTTAAGTTATCAGTTTATTTTTATTTATTATTGAAGTATTGATTACTCTGTTATAGCACTAAAACTCAAAATTCCAAAAAATTAAGGATGGTATTTTAGCTGTTCTGAGGATAATTTCTGCTTTGGGCTAAGTCTGTAGTTCAGAGTCTACAGATCTCAAAGAAAACAATATTTGTTTTATAATATTAAAAAGTGTCTCTGTGGTTGAATAAATGCTGAATACAGATTTCAAATTCTGTGTTATTTCAAATTCCATGTCCTTTCCTCATTAAATAATTTGATCCAAGAAAGGGATAAAATGTTTGAGAATTCATTATTGACCGAACATTTCCCATCACGTTTTTTTCCCACTTATTTGATATGCTTTTGGTAACTAGTAAATTACAAAGTAATAAAAGTCTAGAGAAGTACAGCTGAAACTAATGTAACATTGTGTGTCAACTATACTTCAATTTAAACAAATGTAACTTTAAATTTAAATTTTAAAAAGTGTAGGTAATATGTGGAGAACAAGATGTAGGCCTAGTTTCCTTTATTCATTCTACTAGGCATTGATTACATTGTATAAAAATTATATACAGGACATCTGAAATCCTTATTTGATATTATAGTTCTAGTCTCATTTTTTTTTTTAAAAAGATCAGCTTAAAAAGTAGTAGATTGGTTTTATTGTTAGTTTCCTTCATTCCCTTTTTTTAAATCCACTCCCTTGTAAAAAATGCTGGGAAGTATTTTGGGCTTGCATAAACTGAAACTGTAGAAAGATGGTTTTTACAGGTTAAATTTACCCTTGGGGTGAAGTTGTCAGCTGGAGTTTTATCATTTAAGCGAGCCTCTATCTCGGTTTTGGGATGGTGAAGAGGCCAGCGATGCTGACGCTCCGAGGGTCCTAGCCCGAGTAAACCCGGCACTCGGTGGGCTGCAGAACCAGGTACACCAGGCTTCTCCCGCCCCAGAATAGGAGGTCGCGTGGGTGCGGCTTCTTCCCAGAGGCTCTATAGTCCTCCCAGGAGCCACGAGCCTTCGTTGGGTGGAGCAGGGAGCTGCTCCCCGGGCAGAGCCCCTCTCCCTCTCTGGGGACCCCGCAGGCACCCGAGGTGCACGCGCGGACCATGCCTTCCGTGTGGCCTGGCACTCCGCTGCCTTGCGGCTCTGAGCTCCCTGGGGCTGGTATCTGGGCGATGGTGGAAGTGCCCACTGAGCTTCTGGGGTTTCGCTCAACTTCACCAGTCTCCTTGTAAGCTTAGGTGCCCACTGTTCAGTCAAGGCATTTGACGTTGAACCGCACTAGGGGGAGGCTGGGGAGGTACTTTCCTTAAGGTGGTAGGTGCTGTGCAGCGCTGCGGCCGCCTTCTTTCCAGGGCGCGCCGCGGTCGGGACGTGCATCGACCGCGCACCCCCACGCGCACGAAACCTGGCCGCCGCGCAGGCCACACTTACGGGATCCGAGGCGGGATGTCCTCCATCGCTTTGAAACGCCCGGTCCACAGCAGGATTTTCTTATCGAATTGCGAAGGCTTGTACTCGGCGGGGACCCGGTGGACCTTTCCTGCTGCGGAGGAACCGACTGACCGACGGCACAGTGGCTCCGAGCGCACTCACGCCTCCACTCCCTCCCTCGCCCCAGCCCCGGCTCCTCGCCCGCCGCTCCGCACCCCCTCCCTCTCAGGTCGTTCCCAGCTCGGCCTCACCTGGACCTTGGGGCTCAGAGCCACTGGCCGCCCGGCCGCTGCAGTAGCGGGGCAGACCCCGAGGCCGCAGAGGCGCGATGGGCCGGGGCGCGGCTTCTCCGTGCGCTCCCGGGGCCCAGCGTAAGATGCGCCCCAGGCGGAGGCGCCGGAGGCCCCCGAGGCCCCCGACAGCCGCGAACATGCTGCGCCCTGTTCCCGCGCTCGCAGCCGCCGGCAGAGCTCTGTCGCCGCTCCCCGGCCCGCTCCGCCCCGCGGCGCTCCCAGGGGAGCCCGGGACGCGCAGCTGGAGCCTCGGGCACGTGCACGCTCGCTCCCGGTCCCCGCCCCCGGCCTGAGACCCTGGACCCGGGTGCCACGACCCTGGGGGCCGATTCCCTGGCGGGCGGGGCCCAGGGGGAGACCTGTCTCTGCTGGAAAACTCTCGGAGCAGATTCACCACCTCCTGAGACTGCAGCTCCCTTTAAAGGCATTTCTTTGTGTCGAGTAGAAACGCGTTACCATCAGGCCTTCACCCTTTGGTTCCACTGTTTGGTATCAAGAGAGTAAATCTAAACCCTCTCCTCCAAAAAGAACCAACAGTCCTTCAAGGGCAAGACACGCCAGATGTTTTCCAAGTAAGTGTGAGGACATGCAACAAACTTCTGAATTCCCCATGACGAGAGATTTTGAAGTTGGCTCCTCATCCCACCCTGCACTCCCATACTTTTTCTCTTTCCTAGGCAAACAACCTCAGTTGCTGCAATTTGTTTTTCTCCATCTCTTCATTTCTTCTTAAGACCACAAACTCTCCAAACGTTCTTCAAAATGAGCCTTTCTTCTACCTTCCTCCATTTTCCCTCTGCAAAAAATGGGTGGGGGGAATCCGCTCTTCTCTGGCATCTAAATGGAAACAGGGACTCAGGGAAAGGGCTTGTAGGAAAGCTGTCTACTCTGAAGGATTTTACTTACTCTGCTTACTCCTATTCTCCGGCAACAGACCCCAGCCAGGTAAGGGTGCTCTTCAGGACCCAGCACCAGGCCCAGCTCAGCCTCCTCCTGTTATTGTCTCTGAGGTTCCTTCCAAAGCCAGACACTGCCTTACACTTTTAGTTGGATCTCTTCCTAAGCAGACTGTCAGGCTCTTGAAGGCAAGATCCCTGAACCTCCAAGTGTTTTTCACCTAACAGTGCTTAATGAAAGAGGAGAGTCGGTACAGAAATATGCATTTAAAGGAGTGGTTGTAGAAAGAACACAGGCTTTGCCTTCATACAAAGGTTGAAGCCCCTGATTTGTGCCTTAAGAGTCTCACAATCATAAGCAAATCATTTATGTGATCAGTCTTGGTCTCATTTGTAAAAGTATTCCTACCTCTCAAGCTCATTCATGCAATGACTACAAAAAACGGTACTGTCTGCCGGCTACTTCCCAGAGCTGGGGATAGAGCCTTGAACAATGTCAAGTGGAAATTAGTAGATGAAGAAACAAAACGCAGGATGAAAAAAAAAAAAAGTAAGCAGGGGTGGATTGGGAAGCTATTTAGAAAGCTTGGCTAGGGATACCCCTCTAACTGTGCCTGGCACGTAATAACATTTCAAAAGATGTTATCATTTCTTCCTTTCACATCTTTTGTTTCACTAGTCCCAAAACACAAGGGCATTTTAACTTGTGAAATCTCATGGAGCAAACTGTCGGAGGCTATGCCCTCCCGGAAGGTTAAGGGTTATGTTTTATTTAACACTATATGCTTAGGATGTAGCTGAAAAATTTGGCACTTAGTAAATCCTTAATAAGTATTTGTTAAGTGAATAAATGAGTGCAAGTCTTCAATAATAAAACAGACTCTGTCTGGGCTAGTTTAAGAAAAGACTGAAGTATTTGAGGATGTGCTACAAGATGAACTGAGTGAATTCCTGCCTGACGAAGTATGTTGCCATAGATCATATTTGATTGTTTCAGGAATATGCTACTTGAAAATTCTCCCATTGCTCAGATGTGTTCCTTTTCCTTTTAAGATTTTATTTTTCTTCATGTCTCTGAGAAAAACATCTCTGGGAAACAACCCATCACTAATAGTTCACCAAGGAGTATTAAAATAGCCAAGTAAGTTTATTTCCCTGGAAAGAACTAAATGTCAAGCATCTACACATGATTTTCTATCTCCAGCTTCTCTAGAATTGCAAAATGACAGAGCAAAAGAATAAGAGCTTCTATCATGAGAAAAAGAACAATTTGCATTCTATTCTCTATTCCTTATGGGATTAAAATATCACTATTTGGCAGTGGTCTACATAAAAAAAAAATACAGCTGCATGGCAGATGTTTTCTTTAGTTCTAGAATTGGACCAAATTAAAAAAAAATACATCAACGTCTAATAGAAGAAAAAGCTAATTGTAGCTAATTATATTTCTTCCTTCCTTCTTTTCTTTCTTTCTTTCTTTTTTAAAAACCAGGATGGCTTATTTATTCATTCAACAAATATTTACTGAGTGCTTCCCGTGTGCTAGGATTTGAGGTTGCAGCAGGTAAGCAAATAAAACTCTTTGCCTCTTACAGAGCTTATTACTAATCCGTGGTGGTTTTAGTTTACCCATTGTGTACTATATTATATTACTTTTCAATCCCGTGGTTCATCTGATTTGTATATACTGTTTTCAGTTTCGTTCCTTCAGGGCTTGTTTTTGATTAGTATGGTTTACGTTTCCATTTCTTAGGATGGTTTATGTTTCCATTTCTTACGGTTAATTTAGTTACACTGTTAAAACTGTTAAAACTAGGAGTATATTTTAAATAAGGCTATTATGTAGACTGAGTGGAAAGTGTGGGTAAATTTTAAATTATTTTATTATTATTATTTATTATCGAGAGCTACTATGTGCTTCCCACTGGGCTAAGGCAGGAGATGCCAAGATTACCACTGAGCTGTCCCTGAGAAGCCCCACTCTGGCTAGGATGATATTCCCTCATCAGAAAAGGCCTTGCTTCCAAAAGAGGGCTTGGACCTTAGCTAATTTGTTTTCCAGTCCCCTACCAGTCTGTCTGTAGGGAAAGTTCTAAGGTGACAGTTTACCTGCAGACCCAACTCACTGGAGTCTCCAGTGCTTCGGGCCACCTTATTTAAGTACCTGGTCCAGGCAGTGGCCCAGCAACCGAATAGGTATTAAGCATAGCTTTACAGCACAAGCAGAAACTCAAAATGAGATCTGAAAAACCATTAATGAGCTCCTACATGCAGATCTTCTTGTTATTCTTCTTAATTCCCATTTTCATTGCTGTAGTTCAATCTCTCATTCTCTCTCAACCGTGCCATTGTAATGACCCCCAAAGCGTTTTCCCCATCCCTAGTCAATTCTTTCTCTCATCCTTTCTCTGCCTAGCCTCCAGAGATAGTTTTCTAAAACACAGATGCAATCATGTAAAACTTTCATGGGGCCAGTCTCTTCCCTATTTCCTCTCTAATCCCACACTCCACATCCCTATCTACAGACTACAAAGAAGACCCTAAAAAAATTGTAATGAGACAGGGAGGACTCTTTCAAAGTCTCCTGCTCTGATATTTTGCAAAGTCTGATTCAAGTTCTCTGCCTTTGTCATATCCCTAGACATTTAAAATGTCACTGACCACAGGTAGATAGGTCACATAGAATTATTATGTGCTATTACAGATGTGCAGCAGCTGTTGGTTAACATCACAGTTTGGTTCTGGCTTGGATGGCGGGGTAGGCACTGTGTGTAACCAGTGCTCATCCGGACATGGCTTGAGTTCTGACTGGATGAGACGCTTGTTGTCCCATTGTTCTAAACATTAGTCTGAGCACAATGCATTCAGAAGAAAGCAGGTCGGATTAACTGCTCCTGTACTATTCAATAATACATGGCTTTTATTTGTTCTGGAAATAGCAAATCTGAAACGCATATATGTTTATTAAGTACTGTTTAGGCAGACTGCCCCAGGACAGTGAAGGGGCATCTGCAATGGCCATGTCTCTCACATTCTTTGGCTGAAAGGTTATTTTTGTCGTCTACTTCGATATCTATTAAGACTCTTGCATGTGTCAGATTGTAGGCAATTGCCTAATCAGTTTATAATGGAGCAGCCTCTAGTCGTCCTCCAGTGATCAATTTCAAACTCCGAAATTCCTGGTAACAATCTCTTGTGACACAGCATTTCACAGTCCCAAGGTCTAAATCTGCTACAGACTTTTTACCCTTGAGGCGTAATAATGACTTTATGTAATTCAAATCTTCATACTTTAATAGAATTTTAAGATGATTTAAGAATGCTTCTCCAGCTCCCCGTCTACACCACCCTCCTCAGACACATATAGAGAAGTGGTCTTGCAAAATGAATCAGACCCATTATAAATGTGCAATATAATATCTTTCCTATATACTTACAATTAAAGAAGGCTGTTCATAATCATAATGTGAATGATGCCACCCCAAATTCCTGTAAGATAATTATCTTTTGTCCTACATGCATTTGTACAAATCTTAGTCAGCTTCTCTCAGCTGCTTATCTCTCTTGACTTCGGTGGTCATGTTTTCTCAGAAATTGGGAACTGACTTGTTTGAGTGCTTTGCCTATTCAGGGATAAAAAAACCCCCAACTTATCAAAGAATTTTCTTTTTTTTCCTCTTTCAAGCCTTTTTACTTGGGGCTACTCATACTGATTTTCTGATTTCCAGTGTGAAGTATAGTAATATCTAGGCAGAGCTAATTAAAAGGGCAGAGACTAAGTCTTTTTTTTTCATACTTCTCATGACACCACCATCTACAAATGGAAACAATTGTTATTTATGATCATGATAATAAAGATATACAACAGAATTTGGTACAGATGATTAGCACAAATCATTTAAATTACCAGAGCTCTCCAACAAGAGGTCAGGCGTGGGTTAAAAAACCAAAACCCAGGGAAATTTTTTAAGGTTGAAACTGAATAGCCTACGAGAATGTTATAGAGGCTAAAGGTCATCTATTTTATTTGTTCATTATTTTCTTCATCCAGTCTCCTGTTTTTTGAATTTTTATTATTATAAACTATGCTGCAATGAATATTCTTGACATAGCTCCTTGGGTGCATGTGTAATAGTTTGTCTTGGGGTATATACCAGAAATGAAATTTCTGAATCTAGGAATGGTGTCATTTTAGAAATTAAATGTCAAATGTAATGTAATGATAAATATTCTGGGCTTTATTTAAAACGAAACTGGCCTCCCTCTCTGAGCTCAGGTCTGTTTCAAGCTGAAAGACT